TCCAACCATCTTGTCCTCTGTCGCCCCCTTCTCCTTGTGCCCTCGTGCCCTACAATATAGATGACTAAATTTTCCTTTACAGCATTCATTCTCCCCTTCTAAAATATTTGCACAAAAAGTTTTCTTTGACCTTTGATAGCTCTTTGCCAAACTTGGTGATACCATTATTCTATGTCCTAAAGCTAAGTCCCCTGGAATTGCCAACTTTCACCTACCTCCAGGAGTCTCTGAGATGCCATATTCTAATCCAAATAAGCAAGGGTCACTACAGCAAACCTCTGCCAACCTCTCCACGCTAAGGATGCCAGAACCTCAGTTCAAACAGTCACAGCCTCCGTTGCTTGGTGACATGGAACGCACGGCCAGCATGCCAAGATTCCAGGAGAGTCCATGTGGCCTAGTGGTTAGAGTGCTGGGCCTGGACCTGGGAGAGCAGGGCTCAATTTCCCGCTCAGCCATGAGATGCACTGGGTGATCTTGGGCTAGCCACTCCCTCTCAGCCTAACCAGCTTGGCAGGGTTGTTGTCAGAAGATGGGGAGAAGGAGAAATATGGACGTCACCTTGAGCTGTTTGGAATAAAAGAGGGATATACTGTAAATGTCATAAACAGATCCATAAAATACCAATTGTGAAAAGCTGACCCATACCAGTCGCACAGTATTTCTTCAACAGGATTTTGTAGAGTAGTACCTCGGGTTAAATACTTAATTTGTTCCGGAGGTCTGTACTTAACCTGAAACCGTTCTTAACCTGAAGCACCACTTTAGCTAATGGGGCCTTCCGCTGCTGCTGTGCCGCCGGAGCACGATTTCTGTTTTCAACCTGAAGCAAAGTTCTTAACCTGAAGCACTATTTCTGGGTTAGCGGAGTCTGTAAACTGAAGTGTATGCAACCCGAGGTACCACTGTACTTGATAGTTTCCTACACCAGGCGGAGAAGATCACTTCCAACTTGCCTGCATTTGGACTCAGCCGCAAGATAGAATAGCCGCAAGAAGAATAGTAAAAAAATAAGTGAGTAATAATAGAAAAGGTGTAAAAGTGAATAAAAAAAATAAAATTAATGAGTGAAAAAAGGGGTTTGTGTATATAATTAAAGAATGTATTGGAAGTAATTTTGACTCACAGGCCATTTTAATTTCAATGGTTGTCAGATCCCTGGGTAAGGGCTAAGGCGGTATTCCCTTCTATGGTTCAGGCCTCCTGCAAGGGTGCTTTTACAGTTCTTCACAGAAAAAGAAAGAAGAAAAAGAAGAAATGATTAAAAAAACAACAACCAGGATAAATATTATAAAAAAGAAATATATATTAATATTCATAGCTGGGGAGGGCCCATGTTGTGTATGTTTTCCCCTGTGGTGGCCTCTGGTGTGCAGTTTCCCCCTGTCAGGCCAGCTGCCAGAAAGTTAGGCCTGGGTCAGGTCTAGGCTACGCCAAGCAATTATTTGCAGCCTCCCTGGCCCTTCTGGTACTTTCCTATCTCCTTTTGGTGTCGGCGGCGGCAGCAGCAGCAGCAGCAACGGTAAGCTGGTGTTCAGCTGGTGGGAGACTACTTTTTTTTCTGCTTTGTTTCTGTTCAGCTCCAGGCCCCAGAGCTCCTCTGGACTGTTCAGGTCAGGTGCTCCCAGTCCCAGCATAGCCAAGGTCATGGGGGGGGCAGCAGCCTCTGGGCGACTTTCCTGGCTGATGCCCCAGACGTCCCCGGCTCGCCTCCGGCGGCAGCGGTTTGGACAGCCTGGGGACCAGCCAGGCAGTGCAGTTGGTGTTGGCTGTCCTCAGGAGCTCCACACAACTGTGGCACCTGCCATCTTGCCCTGCCAGAAGTCCTTCAGATATTTTCAGATATACTTGATAGTTTCCTACGCTAGACGGAGAAGATCACTTCCAACGTGACTGCATTTGGACTCAGCCGCAAGAATGAAATCATCTGCTTTATATTAACTGCATCCTAGTATGGGAACAAGCCGGCTTGTTTCAACAAACGCTACCACCCTCCATACCCTCCAACATTTCTCAGATGAAAACAAGGACATCCTATTATACATGGGTGTCTCTCCCCAGCCCACGCCCCCTATGTGTTTCATCTAACTGCTGGTGGAATATGGGGTAAAGAGCAGGGCTAGCTGAGCTGCCCCAGTGGGACTTACTTTTAAGTAAGGTTCAAAGCCTGGTTCAAAGCTTGAACTTCAAACTGTGCATTGTTCAAGCTGTAAGCTCCACCAAGTTCAAATGCAAGCGTGCTCACGTCTGAAATCTTGTCCCATTCAAGTCAGTGAGAGAACACAAAAGGATCTGCAACCCTTTTAAACAGTTAAAAGTGGGAATTTAAAAACCCACAGGCTTCCAAGGAATAACACTCAAAATGCTGGTTCTGACCTCCTGAATTTCTGTTTGTCACACATCAGTTAAAGAGACATTAACTCTGCCGGCGCATCAGGGTAGGGGTGGAGAGTGGGGAGAAGTGCCAGTCTATACGCTCAAGGTTACCTTTGCATATGATGGCACACATACACACATGCTAGAAGGGGATTGACACGGGCAACATGCCTACAGCTCAGGTGCCATGCCTGCTTCCTATCAACTGAACTCAGCCGGACAACACACACACACACACGCTTCTGAGTCTGTTACAGCGTCCTCATACTCACAGCCTTGTGTTAGCACTTTCAAAGACTAATACAAACATTTATTTGCAACCTCAAAAGGGGTTAATTAAAAAGCTCAAGACACTTATTCTCAACACCAGTCCAACAGAGATTATGCAATGGCCAGTCTTTTAAAGACCCACAAAATGTAGACTCATATTTTATGCAGATAAGGGTTGCTATTTACAATATAAATTCAGCACAACTAACTAAATAAAAGGTAAATGTAAACAGTATTACAGTTCTGCCAAACATTAGCTTTCTTAGAATTTGTAATCCACAGTTAAGACTTTTAAAAAGTGCTGATCTGTACAAAGAAAGAAAACCACCTCCCTCCCCACCCCAAGCCTAACATATGATGTTAACTCTTTCTCTCTCTCTCTTTCATGAGTTAGCATCCCATTCATGAGTTAGTTAGATGTCCAACTATTGCTTCCTCATAACTGTCAGCTCAGCCAAAAAATACTGAAATAGTAAGGAGTTCCTAGCATTTTTAAAACCAGCCTGGTGATTACAAATGCATTTACCTAGAAGGCAAACTTCCTCCTAAGTAATCTTTCAGTTTTCCAGAGAAATGCAAAAATGTGCTCTATTCTTAGAGGAAGCAGTAGAATGTTTATATTGTTTTTAATTATCTCCTTATCCCCTTACTCATCCTCATTTGGCTGCCCAACAGGACAAGAAGGTGAAAGAAGGAGAGTTGGTTGTTGTGCTTTAGGCTATGGCATAGTCGGGGGGTGGGGCTAACTTCTTGTGGCCCTCCAGATCTTGTTGGACTCAAACTCCCATCAGCCACAGGCAGCATAGCCAATGGTCAGCAGTGATGGAAGACAGGAGTCCGGCAATATGTGGAAGATCACAGCTTAGCTGATCCTGGTCTAGATATGAGCAATTCTATCTAAGGAAGTAACAGAAGGTTAGTCCATCTTCTGCTTCTGCTGCCCAGCTTAAGCATGGCTTTAACAACAATGATAAAACGGCTAAAGAAGCCTGCACTGAATGCTGGGAGCTTCTCACTTGGCAGCAGATGCATATTTTCTACTTAGTGTATATCTCACCTTTACTTCTTGCATATGCTCTATTGTTTCATTGGAATTTGCATAGACTGCAACTTAAAAAAGGTAAAGGACCCCTGGCAGTTAAGTCCAGTTGCGAACAACTCTGGGGTTGCGGCCCTCATCTCATTTTACTGGCCGAGGGAGCTGACGTTTGTCGGCAGACAGTTTTTCCGGGTCATGTGGCCAGCATGACTAAGCCGCTTCTGGTGAAACCAGAGGAGCGCACAGAAATGCCATTTACCTTCCCGCCGGAGCGGTACCTATTTATCTACTTGCACTTTGACGTGCTTTCAAACTGCTAGGCTAAATACAAAATAGATTCTAAAGGAGAAACCACACAGATTCCAGAACAAACTTTGGTTCTGAAACTTCAGAGTGAAGTGCTGGATAGGTCACACTTGTAAGAAAACAAAGAAAACCCACTTTAGATGCGAGAACTATTCTAACAAATAAGATTAAACGGGTACCTTAGTGCATTACATTTACATATCATTGGGTGCTAGCACAGCAGAGCAGAAAGAGTGAATGAAAGTCAGCCTTATTCTCAAAGCATTTGTTCAGGATTCTCTTTAACACACTAAGTGTAGAGATTTGTATTCCAGAGGATGGAAAGGCTGAAAGATAACTTCAGCATAGTGGTAGATTTAAAATTGATTAGAGTTAAATGGGAAAGGAGGGGAGGGGTGGTGAAACATATTCTTTTATACAGTGTGCATGTGGGGTTTTTTGTCAGCATCAACTGGGTAGCTTCTCTTTCTATTCGCTTATTACATTTCCTTGGTACTGAGAGGGATGGGGGGGGGCATTTCCTCATTTTGAAGGACAGGGATTGGTTTTCTGTGGAGTGTGGCCCGTAATGTGTGTATAAAATTATTATAACAATGTCACAATATATTTTATTGGCGCACACTAAGATATATGGCGTAAATTTTATTTTTTATAGACACGCAGTAATACGTACAGGATTTATATAAACAGAGCGAAAGATAAAATATACTAAACGCGCACTAATATCGGATACCCCACCTCGCAAATAATGCGCTCTCTCTATTTTATATATATGGGACGTGCCCTTTAAAAGGCGGAGGAGCGAGGTTCTCATCGCGTGCTCAGTCGTGCCCATTCCCCAGACGGCAGAGAGAGCGAGAGAATTCCCGCGAGTGTGATGTGCGTCATCGGCCGCCGCCGCCGCCGGACACGTGACGCGGCGCCGCGGCTGCGCTCGGTCGCGCCGGGCGGCCCTCGGGCGGGTAGAAATGACGCGCCGCCGCGGCTCGCGCGCTGATTGGCGGGCCGGGGCTTCATATTGGTGGGGGAGGGGGGAGGAGTTGGTGGCGGCGGCAGAAGAAGAGAGCGGCAGCATCAGCGGCAGCGCCGGCGGTGCGCGCTGCCCCGCCCCCCGCTCCCCATCCTCCTGCCCGAGGCGTGCGTGAGGCGGCGGCGCGTGGCATCGGCGTCTCCCTCCGGCCTGCGCCTCTTCCTCCCCTCCTCCTCCTCCTCCCTCTTTCCCCTTTCCCCCCTCCTCTCCGCTCCCTGCCAGGCCAAGGCCATGACCGACTTCAAGCTGGGCATCGTGCGGCTCGGCCGGGTGGCCGGCAAGGTACGCGTGGGGCCCCGTAGGGCGGGGCAGAGTGGGAGAAATAGGATTTGCGCGTCTGTATGCGGTGTGCGTGTGTTTCCGTGCCCGCGCGTGTTCTGGCTTGGGAGACCCGCGCCCCTTCCTCTATCACATCACCGCCCCCTCGCGCGTCTGACCTGCTCCGTTACGTCAGATAGGACCCCTCTGTGACGTCACTGGGGTTCCATGAGCCCATTATTATTATTATTAAAGATAGAAGGATGCGGGGGGCTGGTTTTAGTTTAGAGGTCCCTTTTCTCTTTTTTTACTCTATCTTTGCATCTCTCCCTGTAGAGGGGTAATGAGCTGTTCTGTGGAGCACTTCCCGCTTGTGGACCTCAAATGGGGAGATTGCTTTCTTTTTATATCCTTCATATTCAGGCTATAAAGGGGCCCATAGCTCACAGGCAGAGCACATGGAGGTGGCACCTGCATTTTCACAGGGTTACATAGCAAGTGTTCTGAGAGGTTTATTTCTGCTTTGGAGTGTGCCTACTGGTTAGACTAGGTGATACTGACAGATTTATAGTCTGACCTGATCCTAAGTAGCTTCCTATTTTCTTGTGCAGATTTGATACATATTTATTGATACATATTTGTTGTAACTTTTTGTTGTTGTGCTTTTCTGTTTTTGTTTTTTTGGAATAAGCATGGACCACAAAGGATGTGTACCAATACTTGGTGCAATGTTTTGCTTTACAGGTTGTTCGGGTTAAGTTTTGTATATAGCAAAAACTGAAACACAAAACTGCCCTTTAAAGGCTAACTGATTTGTGTGGTATAATCCATATTGGGCCAGAGCTGCCCCTCTCAGTTGCAGATTTTGGTCTCTGAGCAAGAACTTGCATTTTACAGTTCTTTCTTCCTCTCCTATCCTACTTCCAAAGGCAAGAGAAAGGCAATACACCCCTTTCTGGCATTTGGACTTCCCAGAAGGCTTGTGGACACAATGGTAGGTAGAGATCCCAGAATGCTCAAGGCTAACCCTGGAGCAGCTTTCCCCTGGTTTAGACAAGTGTGTGAAGTATGCCCGGTCAGATGAATGACTTATTTAAGGTGTAAAACTTCTCTTTTCAGTGTAAGATGTGCCCTGGAATAGCTTAAATTGTTGTTTTGCTGAAATGAATGAAGAGTGCCTTGCTAGGTATTGGAAGAGTATCCGCAATATAAAGTATTTAATTACCCTTCCTTTTTTATTCTAGACAAAGTACACACTGATTGATGAGCAAGACATTCCACTTGTGGAGAGTTACTCTTTTGAGGTAAGAACCATGTTATCTACCTTATTTCCACATTCCAAGTGTTTAACTCAAACTCCCATCAGGCCCGGTCAGCATATCCAATGGCTGAAGAGGATTGGGAGGACCACATGTCAGCTATTATTCCTCTTGATCAGGGATGGGGAACCTGTGGCTCTCCATATGAACCCTGACCTGACATGACCAGTAATTAGGGTAGATAAAAAACAGGCAGGTTGACTGTCTAATGAACCTGCTTTAATCTAACTCATGAAAGCCAGTGGTCTCATATAATGACTATCTGAATAAGTTGGCAGAGATAGAAGAGGAGGCATTTTCCCTTGAAACAGCATGTGGGTCATAAAAGGACTCAGCCCGATCCAGACACCTGGGTTTGGGCAAGGACTTGTATCAAAAGTACCAAGATCTCCAAAGACCCAAACTGTTCTCTGAAGCAGGATAACCAGGCAAGTTGTCCTTCACTTGCAGAATCAGGAGTTGCTTTACTTTAGAATTTTCTTTTATATAGGCTTCATGTATTTTTAGATTGGATTTTGTGGAGCTTAATAGAAAATGTATTGCTCTTGGAAAAGGGGCCGATTTGAAATATACTGACATTACACTTTCACCCATTCATTTACCTGATATCAACAGGTTCTGCACAAGCTTTTGAGGTGTCTGGGGAAAAATTAGAGACTCGACATGGTTTATATATATCCTCAGGCTCGCTGAACAAGAAGGCTCTGATCTTATATAGAGTGTCTGTTAACTCACCACAGAGTGACTCAAGCACAGAAACTGGGTTCCTGGGGCAGAGCATGCATCTCATCTGACATTTCCCATGTCCATTATTGACCCACTTTCTCTTGTCTGATATAGAATGACTGATTTTGAACTTTAGAGACTCTACCTTTAGAGGCAGTACCTCTGCCTTCAGATGTTTGTTGACTGGGAACAGAGTCGCTTGTCTGGTAGCACCCTTTTTCTGAAACATTTTCCCTAGTCATAATTTGCATAGCACCATCATTTAATATCTTTTATGTGACAAGCGAAAACTTTTATTAACCCAAGTGTTTAATATTTTGCCATTTATTTGTTTTTTAACATTTCTGTTACTTGGGTTGCAGTTTTCTGTTTTAATGACTGTTACGTTTCTGTTCATTAATAGTTGTACTTACATTTCACTGTGTTTTGTATTTGAAGCTGCTATGATGATTAGATGAGCATACAAATATTTTAAACAAAATGTATGAATAGATGTGTTCTCTGTCTTTGGCCAGGCTCGAATGGAGGTCGACGCAGATGGAAATGGTGCTAGAATATTTGCCTTTGCGTTTGACAAAAACCGAGGAAGAGGCTTTGGACGCCTGCTGCACGAGTTACTGTGGTAGGTATCATTATGCAGGGGATAACATAGCTGCAGGTTTCCAGACTGCTGAGGCATGTGTATGCATAGTCTTTGGAGATGGGCACTATAATGGCAACTCTCACGTGTCAGGGTAAGCCGTAAGCCGTGGTTTGCTGTGCATGAGCAGATAGCGTCTGTCTTACCTCTCCCCATTCATGGTGGGAAGAAAGAAACCACAATCCCTGGCTTAGCATTGTGTCCAAACCAGGGGTTGTGGTTTGCTTTTCTCCTGACAACCCACAGTGTGTAGCCAATGTTTGTTTTTACGATACGATATCTTTATTGTCATTGTCCCATGCAGAACAATGAAATTGAAAAACTACATAAAACTACATAAAACATTCAAAAACACCTAAAAACTCTGAAACCCCATTTTAAAATACACTATACTATAGAGAACCCTTATGCTGCGTTTAGAACCAGAATTGCATTTGCGTAGAAACTGTTTCTCAGGCGGCTAGTCCTGGCCTTTATAACCCTATACCTTCTTCCAGAAGGCAGAAGCTGAAAGAGATCATTTCCAGGGTGTGTACTATCCTGCGCTATCTCTGCCGCTTTCTTATGGCACCTGGCAACATAGATTTGATCTAAGGTGGGAAGAGTGCACCCAATTATTCTTTCTGCAGTCTTTACAACCCTGGATAGCATTGTTTTTCCCCTGGCCATGCAGCTCCCAAACCACACACACAGACCATAAGTTAATACGCTCTCCACAGTGCAATGGTAGCTTTCTGATTGTGATTTGTTTGTGATCTGATTGTGATTTTAGCTTTCTGATTGTGATTTGTTGGAGGTGAAACAAACCATAGTCCTTACTTTGGACACATCGTCTAAGCCCAAGGGATCATTGTTTTCTTCTAGTAGGAGCAGAGGGGAGACAAATACATTCACAGTAAACCGTTACCTAAGGTGTACTGTGATGTACAAATTGAGCCACCATGTAAAAGGAAAGTGGGCTGTGTTGTGTGTTAAAGTATCTTTATCCCCTCCCTTTTTCTCTCTATAATTTGAACATACAAAACTGCCATGTATTTAGATCTAGGTTGATCCATCTAGCTCTGTGCTGTCTATGCTGGCTGGCTGGCTGGCTGGCTGGCTGGCTGACTGACTGACAGCAGCAGCAGCAGCTTTCCTGGGTTTCAGGCAGGGGACATTCCTGGTCCTACTTGGAAATCCTGGAGATTGAAAATGGGACCTTCGGCATGCAAAATGCTCCAACCCATCCAAGTGCCACAGGGCTACCCACAACTTGAAGCCAGGGTTCCAATATCCAGAGACTCTACTGCTGAGCTACGATCCTTTCCCTTTAACAGCTTGGGTGACTTAAAAGAAAAAAGAATTTGCCTGCTACCTAGAAGATGCCAGGTGTATTTCTAAGGCATTTCCCCTGATCACCACCCAATTTACAGTGGTACCTTGGGTTACAGACGCTTTAGGTTACAGACTCCGCTAACCCAGAAATAGTACCTTGGGTTAAGAACTTTGCTTCAGGATGAGAACAGAAATCATGCAGCAGCGGCACGGCGACAGCAGGAGGCCCCATTAGCTAAAGTGGTGCTTCAGGTTAAGAACAGTTTCAGGTTAAGAACGGACCTCTGGAACGAATTAAGTTCTTAACCCAAGGTACCACTGTATCTCTAATTGCAGGGATGCCTGCAGAAGGTCATCAGCAGAAGATCTTAAGAACTGGACAGGGGGGTGGGTGTCCTTTATGCCTTGGGTCCTAAGCCGTGTAAGGTTTTAAATTTTCAGACCCAGCACCTTGAAGTCAAAGTAAGCTTGTTAAGCTCTTTTGAGATGTGTTGTCTCCAATGACCTGCTCTGGTTAGAACCCTGGTAGCAGCTCTTTGAGCATGTTGGGGTTTCCATACTGCCTTCCAAGGGCAGCCCATGATGTATTATAGGAGTCCAAGCACCTAGAAGCATCTGAATGCTTCCTTTCAGGAATTGCAGGTGGCTCGTCTTCTCTTTCAGGGAGAGGCATAGGGGGGGCATCGCCCCTGGCTTTCAAGTCATACATCTGAATGCAGTGACAGTGGACAATCGTCTAGACAACCTGCGATTGGTTCCATGGGGATGGAGGCCCAAAGCCGAAGAAATCTCTAGTAAACAAAGGTAAATTCTTAATAACAATGTCACAGGCAAGAGGGACAAAAGGGGCTGGAAGTCAAACAACCCCAGAGCTTGTTTTTTTTTGCATAGCCCCTTGATGATTTTTTATGTGTGTTTCTTTGCATCTGAAGAAACTGTGGTGCTAAGTTCTCTCTGACCTGGCCATAGAGGGGAGGATATGTCTCCCACCCTAGGTTATTTATTCCACTCACACAGCAACAATTCTCAAGAATTCCCTTGAATGAGGAATCAGTTGTTAAACTACTCTGGTAATTGTATGTCTGCTAGCGAGAACAGGGGCCTTATAATAACTTTCAGCACCCTTAACAAGCTAAAGTTTCCATAATTCTTTAGGGGAAGACATAACTGTTTAAGACTGTATCAGAGTACTTTAAAAGTATGTTGTGATTGTGGCTACTGTCAACTCTCTGCTTTGAGAGGGTTGGAGTTTTAACATGTTGCAACGGTGCAGCACAAGCTTGCTGCGGAAATATTTAATTTGCTGTTTTTTCTTGAAGGGAACAAAGCTTATACTGGCTGGCGATCCAGCAGCTTCCCACAGACCCCATAGAGGAACAGTTTCCGGTGCTGAATGTGACACGCTATTATAACGCTAATGGGGATGTTGTGGAAGAAGAGGAGAGTTCGTGCACATACTATGAATGTCACTACCCTCCCTGCACAGTGATTGAGAAACAGGTGCGTTCAAAACCAGAAGCAAGTCATGGATAAGACCGTCCTTGTTCTAGGCTGGCTGCTGCAAGTTCACCCTCTTCAGTGTGGTTGCTTCTTTTTAAAAAATCAAAAGTCCTTAGGCACAGCTAGTGTGTTCTTTGTACCCCCTGCAAGGAATTTCACTGCACCGTTTTTAGCCTAAATAGTTATCCTGGCCAGCGGCTTCCAAGCTTCAGACACGTCTCTCTCTCAATGGTGTTCTGTGATGTACAACTGACTTTGTGCTACCATTCTATTTGGATAACTCTTCACCCTACCTCTCGGTGTGGAAAAGTCAGTGTTGCCCATAGGCCAAACCCCTCTTTTCCTAGCCCACTTTTTCTTAGGACAGGGTCATGGGGAAACAAGATCAGAATGAACAGCTCTGGTTTTAAACCTCACTTAAGTAACTTTGTTGTATAGAAGGATGGATAGAAGTCACCCGAAAAGATGACCTGTACAAAGGGAATCTGTTCCTTTGATGACAGTTTCGGATGCTTTTGTGGAGGAAAATATGTAAATAGGTCTGTGAATATAGAAGGGTCTCCAACTCAGCAGGAGAGCATCAGTTTTAAGTCCTAGGTTCAGTCTCTTGCTAGAGCTGCGAAAGATCCCTGCTCGAAACTTTGGAGCACTTCTTCTGTGCAACATAGGTGGTACACTGAACTGGGCCATACTAGTCTGATTTGGTGTCAGGTAGTGCTCTATGTTCCAAAGCCATAGTTATAAACCCAGGGGTGGGGAACTGCAGCTCGAAACTCCCTCAGCCCCAGCCAGCCTGGCCATTGCAGGAGGTGGGGGTGGCGGGTGGCACAGTTCCCTATCCTTGTTGTAGACCATGAGGGAAAGAAATTGAGAGTGCAGTCCTGTACATGTTTACTCATTCCCATTGAATTCAGAATGTCTAAGATTGGGTGGGGGTGGAGAAAAAGAAGATGATACTCATAATGAGACCTTCAGGTTCATAAACAAGAGAAGTGCACCAGTGGGGGCTGGATAATATTTTATCCACAATGAAAACCAAGGCAGCATTTTGTAGGGTTCCCAGGCTGTTCTACCCAGATCCTGACCAGGCCTGCTTTAGTTCCTACAAAGATTGCCCTGGGACTGGCCACCTTAGGACCCTTTTGGTTGGCTTGCTTTTGTGGGGGATGGTTTTCTTTCTCTAGGGGCCTTGAAAAGGGATACTGATTTTTGTCCCGTACTCCTCTCTCCAGTTACGTGAATTTAACATCTGTGGGCGGTGCCAGGTCGCACGGTACTGCGGCTCGCAGTGCCAGCAGAAAGACTGGCCGGCCCACAAGAAGCACTGTCGGGAGAAGAAGCGAGTCTTCCAGCAAGAGCTTGGACCAGAACGATGACCAGCTGGCTGAGGCCTTAGCCCCACAGGGCACCTTCCCAGAAGGTTAAGGAGGAGGTGCCCACTTTGCACGAACTGCTCACTTGAAGCCAGAGGCACTGACAAAAAAGGAGAGAGAGAGAGGAGAATTTTTTTTTTTATATTTGAAAAGACAAACCAATCCCTGTGATGCTTGAGGAAAGGGACTGACTCTTCCCTTCCAGTGTTAAAAAAAGAAAACGTCTGAAGCAAAAAAAAAAGACTACTGGGGAAGCTCTCCTGCTTGGAAGCTTTCTGTTATTTATATGTTAATATGTTTGTAAAGTTGTGTACAGAGTTTTTTTTTGTTTTTTTTTTGTTAGAAGTTCTCTTGCATAGGACTCATTTACTGTAATGTTCAAGTGAGAACACATTGTTGGTTGAAATAACTGTCCAGTAGCAAAAAGAGAAACAAAAAAAAAAGCTTTTCCTCCCCCTGTGGCTAGGAGAAGGCCTGGGGAGCTAGCTCAGAACATCAGCAGTTAAATCTGAACAACTCTGCATGGAAAGTTGTGTTTTCAAGTAAAGGATTGGAATGGATTGGCTGCCTTTTTTGCTCTTTTAAACACTTGAGCAGCTGTGAATGATTGTCCACCACTATCAACATCATGTTGCTGGTCTGTCCCCCCCCCCCATGAGTGACACTTTCCTCTGAAGATTGCAAAAGCCGCTGAGCTGCTTAGCTGCTTCCTATCACTGTTCTTCCCATCTGTTTGTAGAGGCAACCATGCCCCCCTGCATCCTGGTTGTCATAGTTCCTAATGATATTTCCACCACTCCACAAGGAACCATGGGCAGTAAGGTAAAGGTGCAAGCAGGCTTCCCTGAGCAGAGGTTTGGGATTGGTGACTGATGACCCCGTTTCTCATTGAAAGGCGTACAGTCATGGGAAAGTCTATATTGGTCCTCCCCTGCCCTTTTGTCCTGCTGTAATCTTTTAAGATGAACAAGGAATAGTTTCTTATTGCAGCATCTATGTGCCAAACCATGACTCTGCTGTACTCTTGCAGACCTGCTTGGTGGCTGCCCCTCCACATCTCTCCTCTGTCCCCCCCCCCGAGTTTAGGGATAGGGAATCTGCCCTTCCAGATGTAGTTGGACTCATCAGCTTCAATCAGCATAGTTGGGGATGATGGGAGTTGTAGCCCAACAACGTTTGGAAGGCAACAGATTCCTCATTCCTGCCTCTGGAGACCTAAACCTTTTAAAAGTACTGTTAAGACTTTTTTTTAAAGGCAAACTTGCTTTGAGTAGTTTAAGTAGGTAGAATAATAAGCTGTGTATTCTCTGAGACAGTCCAGTGGTCCACTACATTTCCCAAAGCAAGGTATTTTAAAGTTACAAAAACTAAGTGACTCTGCACATATCTATGTGGGGAACTCCATGAGACACTTGACTTAAAACCAGGTGTCTGTGTGACAGGTTCTATTTATGCCCATAGCAATATATGGCTCAGAATTGGGGATGGGTGGAAGAATGTAATTGTTTACCACCATCAGCAGTAAGTGGAAACAGACCTGATATTTGACCCTTAGTGCAAGGTGGGCTTGATTTCTTGTGTGCAAACATAGAAGACCCTGTCCATGCAAATCATGGGGATTGCATGGTTCCTGTTGAGACTGCCTCTACCCAGCCACAATGAGCCCATGTGTTTCTGTTTGCTATCTGGATCCAAGGCAGGTAAGTCCAGGTAGGCCAGTTTCTAAGTCCAGAGTAGGAACCTATCCTTTTCATCTATAGTGTAGGGATCAGTAACTGAAAAACCTGTCACCAATTCAGGCTCCATGAACAGTACCTTGTGACCCTCCTAGCAGCAACCTGGATGTTAGACATGTGGATGCAGTGACAACTAGGAGGGTTTTTGGCATTTCACTGTGGGCTGGGGGGGTGGCGGCATAGACATGTGACCCACCAATAAAAGTACAGTGGTACCTTGGGTTAAGAACTTTTTTTGTTCCAGAGGTCCGTTCTTAACCTGAAGCACCACTTTAGCTAATGGGGCCTCCTGCTGCCGCTGCACAATTTCTGTTCTCATCCTGAAGCAAAGTTCTTAACCCGAGGTACTATTTCTGGGTTAGCGGAGTCTGTAACCTGAAGCGTCTGTAATCTGAGGTACCACTAGTTGGTACGCAGGTCTGTACTGCAACCTTAGCAGAGTGGTTTGTATGCAGCTTTCCATGATGATGCATCTTCTAGCCGTTTTGGACTAGAGCGTAAATCAACTGAGCACTGCCAGCTGGGGCTGATGGGTGTTGTAGTCCAAAGCAGCTGGAGGGCACGAGATTAAGAGCATAGGAAGAGACTGCTGGATCAGGTCAGTGACCCATCTACTCCGGCATCCTGTTCTCACAGTGGCCAACCTGATGCAAGCAGGACTCAAATACAAAAGCACTCTACCCACCTTTGGTTTCCACCAGCTGGTATTCAGAAGCCTTCCCACCTTTGACAGCAGGCAGAGCATAGAGGCATTGTGGCTAGTAGCCATCAATAGCCGCCTCTGTGAATTTGTCTCTAATCACATTAAATTGGTGGCCATCACTGCCTTCTGCGGAATCAATGTTGTGGAATGCTAGTTTAGGCACTCCTGACAGTGGCCAATATTTCTCTGCCCTGAAGCGCCCCCAATTTGAGCCTATTTTTCAAGACTTATCAGTCAAAGAAAATCATTGCTTCTTGGGTATACTTGAATCTGGCCAGTTATTTCTGTGTTTTGCCTGTAGCTATACTGAACAAGGGAAATGCGTCGCTTTTCTCTCCCACCCTTTACCAAAGGGATACTTGAGTGGCTAACAGAAGAGCAGGATAAGCAGAGAAAAGAACAGCTGCAGCTATCAAAACTCAAAATACGAACAAGAGAGTTCTGAAGTCAATACCTTTTTGTTTTCAGTGCATCCTCCCATACAACTGTATTTAGTATATAAACATCATTGTCTCTTCCATCTCATTTTAAAATTGTTCCACATAGGCTTTGTGCCTTCCTCGCAGGTGCCTTCATATCTACACTCCAAGCAGCAGTTGTTTGCTCCATCTCATATGTACATAAGCCAATCTTTATTGATTGACCAACTTATGGTTGTTTGTTGAATTTTGTGTTAAAGAGACTGAAAAGAGGCCTGTATTAAGGGTGTGGCATTTCTGCATTTGTGAACTGGTGTATTTAATGCAACCTTTGCCAACCTGGGAGTTGTAGTCCAAAATGTACTAAGAGGGCGCCAGGTTTGCAAAAGCTGATTGGTCTTTACCTGTGCTCCTTGTATAACATGTGCATCACCTTCTTTCTGCACCATGCCTGTTGTGGGTCGGTAGGGAATGGGTTTCTCCTTTTGCATGTGTATTTTAAAGCACCTACAACCACCACCGCTACAAATCTGCTAAGCACTCACACTTGCCTTGTTTAGTTTGAACAGTTCTGCTGCCTGAATTCTTCCCATCCAAAAAATGTCCCCATGGGACTGTTTCCTCACACAATAGATTTAGCAGGTTTTTTGCATGCATGTTCTAGTTAAGTGTGAAAGCAGCTCCACCCTGAAACATGGTTTTTATGGCTTTGGTTTATAGGATTGCTCTCCCCGTGCCCCTACAGCTCCTCTCAATTTTTAGGATTTGTGGCTAGTGTGGTGTAGTGGTTAGAGTGTTGGGCTAGGGCCTGGGAGATCAGGGTTGAAATCCCCACAGTGGATGTCACAGTCACTGCCTCTCAGCTAATCTACCTCACAAGGGTGGTTGTGTGGGGATTAAAGGAAGAAAAGGAAAACCATGTAATGCCACCCTTCGCTCCTTGGAGAAAAGGTGGGATATAAATGCAATACAGTTATAGAAGCCATAAGTAAGCCACTGTGAGCAATTCAGGTGAACACAGTAAGTACAGTACCATATGGAAATTAATATGTGGATTTGCTCATGCAAAGCAGGCATTGTCCTGATCCACTTTTGACCTGATTTGATCACACAAAACAATGTGAATATTTACCTATTCACCATAGGTATTCACAGTGCCAGTGTGGTTAGAGTGTCAGACTAAACCCGGACTAGGGTTCGAATCCCCACTCAGTCATAAAGCTCACACTGGGGTCACAGTCACTGCCTCTCAGTCTAATTTATCTCACAGGGTTGCTGCATGGGGATTAAATGAGGAAGGGGAGAGCCATGTACACCACCTTGAGCTCCTTGGAGAACGAGGGGGGAGTATAAATGCAATCAATCAAATTAAATTGTCTGCGACATTATTTGAAATTAATGGGGAGTGGAAGACTCCTGAAACATTTCGCGGATGGGCTGAAGAAGCCGAGACACGGAAACTGTCCAAAATAAACAAGACCCTTTGAAACAGGTGGGACACGTGGCTCTAAAATGTCATCACATTGATTTCCACAAAAATTGAAAAATGAACCCCCCCCCCTCTATAACTTAGGGAAAACCATCTTAATGATAAAACTTACAGTATGAGAGAAACACAATAGATAATAATAAAACAAATTTATTGAGAGGTTGCATTTGTGTTTTACATTTTTTTAATGCTAATCCTCTAATCTATTCGCCCTACTTTAGAGTTTGGGTTATGTTTGTTTATTTTTTTTGCTTTGCTGTCCTTTTCTCCTACATAATGTCATTTATTTCCCTCCTTTTCCACATCGGCCACCCGGGGATCGTCAAAATGAAGGCGTTGGCTTGGTGTTGCATCTGGTGGCCTAATATGGACAATGCCATCACTTTGTGGGTTGCCTCCTGTCAAGCATGCCAAGAGTCGAGACCTGCACCGCGGGCAACTAAGGGCAACACCTGGGAGATGCCCAAGGCACCATAGTCGAGGGTGCACATCGATCTTGCCAGCCCCTTTCCTGGCCGGACTTTTATGGTAGTGGTGGACGCTTATTCCAAATGGCTGGAGGTGGCCCTGATGCCCTCCACCACTACCGAAGCCGTCATCCGGGTGCTGCGGGGCCTGTTTGCAACTCATGGGTGTCCTGATGTCCTTGTCTTGGACAACGGACCTCAGTTCACGTTAGGCACCTTTGAAAGGTCCCTCTTGGGGCTGGGCATCCACCATGCCCTCATGGCAGCATTTCACCCGGCCAGCAATGGGCAGACAGAGAGAATGGTGTGCTCAGCAAAAGAGGCACTGGTGCGCCTAGAACAGAGGGACTGGCACGAGCGGGTCACTGAATACTTGCTTGTGCAGCACATCACCCCTCATGTAGCTACAGGACGGAGCCCAACCGAACTGCTCATGGGCTTCCGGTCTCCGCTTGACCAGCTGCACCCGGACTTTGGTATGGCCGAGCCCTTGGGCTGTACTAACATGCCATGGTCCTTTATTCCGGGGAATCAGGTTTTTGCCTGGAACTTTGTGGGGGACATTCCTTGGGTGCCGGCCATGGTAGTGGGAGTCACGGGGCCCTGTTCATACCAGGTGGCACTCCAGAACGGACACCTGTGGCGCCGGCACATAGACCAGCTAAGGCACAGGGTTGGGGATTTGGACATTACCACTGTGCCCCCAACTGTGGCTTCAGCTCCAGAGCGGTTGCTAATGGAAGGCGAGGCTCCACCTACATCTTCCTCACAAACTGAGGGCATGGAGCCGAGCCGAGCCATTTTGGTGGGTCTGCCTGGCTCTCCAGAGATTCGGACCACCGCTGTGCCTGACCGTCCACCGAGTCTGCTTGTGGCAGTTCCTTCAACAGCAGCAGAGCCAGGGAACTCGGGCTCAATGCCACATTTGGTTGCACCACAGTCACAGCCAGAATCGGGCGGCCACCCTTACTCTGGTACTGGCCCTTGGTGGTCTGACAGGGTTTCCAAGCGCCCAGCTTATTTAAAAGACTATGTTCAACTGCACATGTAAAGCTGTATGATGAATAGGGTCAATTAATATGCTTATGTGCCTTAAACCAATAAGGGTATTGCTGTATGTAATGGAACCACTATGATTGTAACTAATGCCTTATCTCGGTGGGGAGGGGTGTTATGTATTGAAGTTCTCACCCTGGCCACCAGGGGTATTGTGTATGTATACAGTTTTCACTCAGGTCTACATCAGTTAATTTAGGCATGGAAACCCTGGGTTGTTGTTACAATATTGACAGCTGGCTGCCTATAAAAGCAGGCCAGCTGAACTGTTTGCTGTTCAGTTCAGTTCCAGCTTACTTATAAAGAACTACTTGGAGAAATCTCTGTGTCATCTGCTATGTCCACCCACTATTTAATATAACTTGCTTTATTTTTTCTTGATGAAAGATGTATAACAGTCTTGGCTACAAAGTACAATAATATATTAATAAAATTATAAACACATACACACAATATATAAACATACTGGAACATTGATTTCCAACAAGCCTACAGCATGCAGAAAAAGTCTGTGGAGGGGGGAAGTTCTAGTGGGGTGGCTCCCAGGCCCCATTTGAGCTTCCCAATGTGGAGCACGTGAAATATGGCCCTTTTATTGCTTCTATCCTTTTTATTTTAAAAATATTTTTATTGATTTTTAAAAATGAAAATCTAACAATTAAAGATGCAGCTCACTCATAAAGTTCAAGAATCTGCAGTAGAAAAATATCAGACCCTCCAAATGTCCCTATTTTCCAAGGACAGTCCCAAATTTACAGAAGATGTCCCTGTTTCTGATTTGACCTCAGAATGTCCCGCTTTTCCTTAGGACTTCCCTATTTTCATTGGACAAATGTTGGAAGGTATGGTAGGATGTCCCTATTTTCATCAGAGAAATGTTGCACGATATCGAGTTATCTGACCCTCAAGCCATCTAAAGACAGTCCTGTATAGGGATTTTTAAAAAAATGTTTAATGTTTGTGTGTGTGTGTGTGTGTGTATCTTGGAAGCCTCCCAGAGTGGCTGGGGCAACCCAGTCAGATGTGTGGAGTATATATAGTAAAATTATTATTATGGAATAGGATGTCCCTACTTTCATTGGAGAAATGTTGGAGGGTATGAAATATGCAGTAAAACAAAAGAATGGTCAGGGTTGGTCGGGGGGAAGGGTCCAATTAGAAGCAAATTAGAAGCACATTTATATATTAGCAAGAAGTAGATGCCATGTTTTGAGTTCAAACATTGGTGTATACAGAGACACTGGCGAGATGTGGGATTTTCATCTGTACTGTATTTCCATTCAATCAGCAGTAGACTTCTGAATGATAGATGTGGATTCTAAATTGTGCGAGTCATCTGCTATACATCCTGTACACTTAATTTGACATCCTGCCATATGACAAAAAAAATGTGTCCTTTTGTCCTCCTGCTACTCTTTAAACAGGCAGGTTTCCCCCCAATAGGGTTATTCCCCACACTTCACTGTGCCATGTTTGAGGGTTGTCTCAATAAAACGGCCGCTCTCTGACCAAACTGGCTGGCAGTGCTCCAGGTGCCACATCATACCCATTTCCCACATTGGCTTAGTACTTGGTCGCTTCGGGCGGGCAGCGCCATCACTTGGGGAACTGCCTGCCTTTTGAGATCAGGCAACCTTCGCTCTTCGCGTTTCTTCGGCGCCTCTCCCTGTTGAGGCAATACCTTCCCCAGTCTATTAAAAAGTTGGCGCGAGTTTTTAACGTGTTGCAGTGTTGTCTGCGTTAACTAGGATTGTGAATTTTTTTCTCGATTCTCTGCCGTTTCACCTTTTTGCAAACCGCTTTGAGGGATTATTTTTGTGTAAAAAAACGACAACACAATCAGGTGGTGCATTCAATTTTATTAAACAAACAAACAATAAAACAATACAAATAAAAAAGAATTGTTTTAAATGTTGAAACCCGCCCTAGGGGCCTTAGGGTTAAGGACAGAAAATAACAACAACATCGGTGGTGGTGGTGACGATGGTGGAGAGAAAGGCGGCCCAAGTAGCCGAGCGAGTGAGCCCTCCCCACAATGGCCACCTTCCTAGACCGAGGGAGAGGAGGAGGAGGAGACGCTTCAGGTCGTCTCAGGCCTGGAGAGGAGGAGGGAAAGGCCGAGGGGGCGGCGGCAGCGAGCGAGCGAGCGATCGTCCTGACCCGGCCTCGCCTTCCCTTCCCCGCCGCCGCCTCGCCTCATTCACTCCCCCTCAGAGGCGGGGAGAAGATTGTGGGGTGGCTGCCGCGTTTCCGCTTCGCCTCCGTCGGGAATCGGGACGGCCGTGAGGTGGGACATGCTGTGGTGCTGATGGGGAGGCTGAGAGGGGCTTCTTCACCCTCGACCCATGGATAGCCTGCGTGGTTTTTTTGTGGGGAAACGGGGTGGGGCTGGAGGATTAAGAGACGGGCCACCCCCCCCTGCACACCTTATGTGGGGCTTTCTTGATGTCTAGTGTGTGCGGGGTGTGTGTGTTATAGTTTTTGTTTGTTACCACGTTATGTATTTTTGTGTTTTAATATTGCAAAAGCGCCCTGTATTCCTCGGATGAAGGGCAGTCTAGAAATGTCATAAGTAAAAATAAAATTGTGCGGGGCTCTGCCGCGTGAGGAGTGCGTTGAAAGAAGGGGGGTTTTAAAGCCTCTTTCTCCTGGATTTCAGGGTGTCTGAAGTAGTTGTATGTGTGTTTGTGTGTGAAGGATTAAGGAGTGTGTGCCCCCCCCCGCTTCACACCCATTATCCATGGGGCTTTATTTATTCATAGCATAGGGTTCTGCTGTGCTAGGGTGGATTAGGAGAGGGACTTTGCAAGTCCTCGTGGATTTGAGGGCGACTGTCAAGTAGTTTGTGTGAGTGTGTGTGGGATTAATTAGGGGACCCCCCCTTCCAAACACAACTTTCCCACCCACAATATTTCAAGCTTCTTTATGCCCAACAGATGGGGGGTCTCCTGTGTTGAGGTAGGTTAAAATAGGGAGATTGTAAATCCTCACGCCCTCCAGGAGATGGCTTTGAGGGTGACTGTGAGGTAGTTTGTGGGGTGGGGGAGTATTAATTTTCTTTTGTTGGGGTGGGGAGGAGTGTTCAGAAGGGGACAGAGCCTCCTTCTGAGTGCCTCTTCTTCCAAACATACTCATATAATTTTACAGTTGCCCTCAATCTATAGTCTGCAGGTTGTGGAGGATACATAGGTGTGGGGGTGTGTCTCCCTCTTTTAACCTGTTGCTGTTGGGGATAGAATGAGTTAAAAAGAGGGACTTCTCCCAACCACCTGGAGATAGATTATATGTAAAGTGTGAAGTTGATGCATGATGTGTAAAGTGTGAAGTTGATGCACAATTTGGAATGTCAGGGTTGCTGATTCTGCTTTTCTTGTGCTTCCCTTCCTTCCAGACCAGGATGAGTGTCCACTAACATGGCTCTGCAGTGTAAGATTCAGACCTTGCAGGTGGTTGACACAGAATACAGTGCTGATGCCGTAGAGTGGTGCCCTGTGGAGGGCTGGCACAGCATCCTGGCATGTGGCACCTACCAACTCAAGAAACCTGACAGCAGTGTGAGTGGCCCTTTCTGGTGTTGCCTATGCAGTGAAAAGAGCTCCAGCAGTTTCAAGTTAACAGTTCCTTGAAGCATATTTTGGGGTTGTTGTTAAGGTGCTTTGATGTTAAGGCTTAGGATGGATTGTCTATAACTTGTTTTCTCATTCTTCCCACTTTTGGCTCATCCACCTCAACTCCATGCAGAATGAAAAGTTGATTTTGCTTGCATACAGCAGTATTGGGGAACCTTTGGCTCTCCGATATGTTGCTGAACTACAGATTCCAGCAGCCCTAGCAAATGTGGCGAGGGATGATGGGAACTGCAGTTCAGCAACATTTGGTGTGCCAGATATTTCCTATGCCTGGGATACTGTCCTTCTGATTCAAGACCTTGCTTGGGTCAAAACCCCATTTATAATCCAACACTACTAAATAGTCCAACAAGAACATCAGATACTACAGGATTAAACTAGCGTACCTGCTGCTGTATTGTTTTAAACAGGATCCAGCTAGATAAAATACTGTAATTTCGAAGATAACCAACCACTCAAAACACATTAAGATTGTAGCTTAAGGTGCTCTTAAGCAAACCATTCTTCTTTCATCCCCTCTTGAATAAGAATATGTGTGATATTGAAGTTTCTGTTGCAGGGATTAATGAGATAATGTTGAGATAATGTACAAGAAAAGACTTGAACACTGTAGATATGCTAAGTTTTAATCATTTTGACAGGAAGTGTATAGCAGTAGTAGTTTTTATTCAGGCTAGAATAAAATTGGTTTTCTATCTCAATTGGTTTTCCATATCTTGGCTTGTCCCAAATAACTCCCAAATGAGTTTAAGTGAGCTGTTCACCTCTCCTTCCCACCTAGGTGTGACAGTGGCCTATGTCTTCTTTAGCAGAGGTGACAAGAGCAATGGGGCAAACTTCCTGAGGGGACTGATGCACAGGAATTTCTTATGTTCTCTAGCTGTGCAGTTGACGGGTAGTTCAGGGACAACAGGTAGTTGAATGTGGGAGAGAGGAAGAGATGGGGTGAGACAATGTCTCAAAGTGATAGTTTTTGATTTTGCTTCCCATTGCAGGCTGGTGAGAGCCCTGAAGGGAACAATGAGCCCCATGTGCGCCTGGGCCGCCTCTACCTGTATTACTTTGGAGAACAAATTTTCACACCACTGACTGAGATCCAAAGGCTGGAAATGGCTGCCCTGCTGGACATTAAATGGTAATGCTGGAGACAAAGTCCAGACCAACACCTAAGCAGTTCTTCCTCATGTTGTTTGGTAGCATATGCAGGGCCGTCTTAAGCATATACAGCACCGTGGTGCAGAGCTTCCTCCAGCACCCCCCATTTCCCATAATTTTTTAGGGAGGACGGCACTGCTGGCAGGGCTGGAGGAGGCGGGCAGCGGCTGGGGGGCAGCTCCTCTGGTGGGGAAGAGGCGGAGGCTGGATGCGGCGCCTCCCGGCTCAGCTGTCTGCTTTGTGCCACAGTGGCCACGGCAGACGGAGGCTCTGGGCACAGCGCTGCTTTGGCATGGCATGGCGGAGGTGGGCGAGGGTGGCGAGCTGATGCTGGGAGGCGCCGCATCCAGCCTCCACCTCTTCCCTGGCGCCCTCCAG